GGACCCTGGCCCCACCGATCTGCGCGAGGGGTGCAACCGAATTTCAGAAATGTGACAAATTCTGTGTGTTTTTGGACCCTGACCCCGCCGATCTGCGCGAGGGGTGCCAGCGAATTTCAAACATGTTGCAAATCTCTTGTGTGTTTGCACCCTGACCCCGCCGATCTGCGTGAGGAGTGTCACCGAATATATATATATATATATATATATATATATATATATATATATATATCGGAGGTGAGGGGGTGAGATCGAAGTGGAACGGAGAGCCCCCCTACCGGGAAATCGATTTCGGTTTCGTGTTCGTGCGTGCCGTGCGGCGGGCGAGGCGAAGCTGCGTGGGCGGGCGAGAGAAAGTCTCCTGTGGCTGAGGCGCGGCCGGACCAAATGTCTCCCTTCCGGGCGGCCGGGGGCCCGCGGTGTCCCGCCGGTGTCCCGCTGGTGTCCCGTGTGTCTGAGGCGCGGCCGGATCAAATGTCTCCCTTCGGGCGGCCGGGGCCCCGCGGTGTCCCGCCGGTGTCCCGCCGGTGTCCCGTCGGTGACCCGATGATGATGATGATGGTGATGATGATGATATGATGATGATGATGATGATGATGATGATGATGATGCTGATGATGATGATGATGATGATGATGTTGATGATGATGATGATGATGATGCTGTCGATGTTGATGTTGATGTTGTTGATGATGATGGTGATGATGATGTTGGTGTTTCATTTTGATGATCGATAGTAAGATCGATAGTGATATCGAATGTGAGATCGATAGTGAGATCGATAGTGATATCGAGCGTGAGACCGAATGTCAGATCGATTGTGAGATCGATTGTGAGATCGACAGTGGTATTGGTAGTGATATCGATTGTGAGACCGAATGGAAGATCGATTGTGAGATCGATTGTGATATCGATATTGAGATCGACAGTGAGACCGAATGTGAGATCGATAGTGGGATCTATTGTGAGATTGATTGTGAGATCGATCGTCAGATCGATTGTGAGATCGATCGATTGAGATTGGTAATGAGATCGATAGTGAGTTCGATAGTGAGATCGATGGTGAGACCGACTGTGAGATCGATTGTGATATCGGTTGTGATATCGATAGTGAGATCGGTAGTGAGACCGAATGTACGATCGATAATGAGATCCAAAGTGAGTTCGATAGTTAGATCGATAGTCAGATCGAATGTGAGATCGATTGTGAGATCGATTGTGAGATCAATAGCGAGACCGAATGTGAGATCGATTGTGAGATCGATTGTGAGATCGATAGTCATATCGATTGTGAGATCGATCGATTGAGATCGATTGTGAGATCGGTAGTGAGTTCGATAGTAAGATCGATCGAGTGCGACGTTGGTCCCTTCCCCCCCCCCCTCACCTCCTTATCACCCGAAGGGTGGTCGTATAGGTATATATGTGTGAAATTGGCAAATCCCATGTGTTTTTGGACCCTGACCCCGACGATCTGCGTGAGGGGTGCCACCGGATTTCAGACATGTGGCAAATTTGTGTTTTTGCACCCTGACCTCGCCGATCTGCGCGAGGGGTGCCACCGAATGTAAGACATGTTGCAAATCCCATTTGTTTTTGGACCCTGCTGGACCCTGCCCCCGCCGATCTGCGAGAGGGGTGCCAGCAAATTTCAGAAAGGTGGCGCATCCATTGTTTTTGGATCCGGACCCCGCCGATCTGCGCGACGGTGCCAGCGAATTTCAGAAATGTTGCAAATCTCGTGTTTTTGCACCCTGGCCCCCGCCGATCTGCGTGAGGAGTGCCACCGAATATATATATATATATATATATATATATATACACATACATACATACATACATACATACATATACATATACATATATGAAATGCAGCAAATCCCATGTGTTTTTTTGGACCCTGACCCCGCCGATGTGCGTGAGGGGTGTAAGTTTTTACCCGCCCCAGCAATTCAGATCATACGATTTGGGCGCGGTGAAAATGCCCGTTTGCCCCCCCCCCCCCCCCCTTTCCCCCCTGGTGCTGTCCATCAACAAGGAACAGTGAACATCAATAAGTCAACAAGGAGTTGTAAGCAGCAAGAAGGAGAATTGCAACAGTGGAAACTGGAAACTGCAACTGGTAAAGGAAAATGCGAACCTCCGGCCTACGGCCCCGCAAGGGGGCCGGCGGATTGCTTTTCCTGGATCTGAAGTACAGAGAAACTCGACTGATACAGGCATTGCCTTGGATCTCCTACTGACCGACGCATATGCGTTGGACAGCCGGATCAGGTCAACGATTACATCGTCTGATTTGCTCCATACGTGGTTCAGAGGTTTCGGCAATGAAGTTCGTGGTTCTTTCGAACGATGTTATGCGCAGATACAGCCTGCCATAGAGTTCATGCAGACGTCCGAACAGATTGTTCCCCCCGCCAGAACTCGGTTGACCGCCATGGATATCTTGTCGCAGACAATGCTATTGGTCTCAATAGTTATGTGAAGAACCTCACGAAGGATATCGGCACATCCGATCCTCCTCTGGCAACTCTTGTCGACCCAGCCGCACCGGGAGTTGCTGCTCAGCCCTCTACAGGTCTAGTGACCCCGCGCGCTGATGCCAATGCCCCGAGCGGCTCTGCCACCTCGGGGTGGAGAAGCTCACGGATTGCTCGAGCGCCCCCGAGGCGTCCGATGGATGTCGCTGAAAGGATTAGGGCTGGCTGGACTGAGAGGCATGCCTCTAGGCCTGCCCATTGCAACCCAGTGCCCGCCTGCTCAGCCGCGTCGGGCAGCGACCCCGAACGTGATCGGAGGTCGCGCACAGCTCCTACCGAGTGGCACGATCGGGATCGGTCGCTTGCGTAGGCCGGTGAGCCCGTTGAGGATGTAGGCGGCCGCGCGCGCGATGGCGGCTGGGATCGTTTGCTGGATCACCCCAGCAGGGGCGCCAACGGCAACGTCCAGGGATATTATGTTCATGTGGATCGCCATCAGAGAATAGCACGCAGTCACAGAACATGGCACTGATTCAGCGTGAACGATTACAATGCAGAGTTCGCCACTGACCGCGAAGATAAATCGCGGGGAGAAGAATGGACCTCCAGCGGGCGAGCTTGGACAGGATCTGGAGACATCCCCGCTGGAAAGCCAGTTTCTGATGATCGCTCCCGCGACGCACTGCGAAGTGCCTCCGCGCCCTTGCCCGCGCCGCCGCCACCGCCCGCGCCCAGGGCGAGGCCGGGCGACAAGGGCAGGGGCAAAGGCAAGTCTAGCAGCTGGAACACTGGCAAAGGAAGAGGTACTTATGACTATCGCCAGCGAGATCAGTCTCAATGGAGCTGGCGGACCGTCGACGATTGGAAAGACCCTCAGCGCCGGGATGAAGATTGGCGGGGATGATTTCGCGCAGAAGGACCAGTGCGACTCTGTCGGCGTTGATCCCGCGTCGCTTGGTTTCATCAACGCGGTGTGGGTGCGCCAGGAGTAAGAGAACTTGGTGGTATGAGCTGGATTCAGACATTTGCTCCGGCGGGGTTCGTCGGTTTGTTTTCTCTTTTCGGCTTCTTGCCCCTCGGCCACCGCGGTCGAGCCGTCAGATTGTTTTCTCGGTTGGCTGGTGTGGCTGTGCACGCGCGCAGGCCGGGTGGGCGGGGGGTCGGGGCGACTCCACATGCCGCCGGGGGAGTCAATGCACAAGGAGAGATGGCTGAGTTTCCACATCTGGAGAGACGCGACGGGGAGTTTGAGCACTGCGGAGTGCGCGTCAGGCACGGTGAGGCAGGGATCTACGCCACGCAGGCTAAGGCGGTCGAGGCCGCGGCGCACATCCCCATCGCCCCGGACAGGAAGAAGGCTCCAGACGGACAAGCAACCATGGAGGAGCCGAGCACGTTTCGCAGCACGAACGGGCAACTACAGTGGCTGGCACATCGCTCGAGGCCCGACATAGCCTCCGAGCAGCGCAGCCTTGCGCAGAGGGCGTCAGAGCTGAAGGTCCAGGAACTCATCGATGCCAACAAGCTTGTGGACTATGTTCCCCAGCCAGAGCTCGCCTCTGTATGGGGTCATAGCGGGTTCATCTGGTTAGGTTGGGTTTGCTGCCGATTTTCGGCGCGCGCCCGGTGCCCGGGCGCCCGGTGGTGCCTGGGTGCTTGGGGGTGCCCCGGGGCGCCTGGGTGATCTATCGCCTTATGCCCCTATAGCTCTATAGCCCCATGCCCTTATAGACCTCTAGACATATAGCCCTACAGCCCTAATCGCCCTATAGCCTTATAGTCTTTATTCCCCATAGCCCAATCGCCCTATAGCCCTATAACCGCTTAGCCCTTGTAGGCCTATAGCCCTATAGCCCTATAGCCCTAGCCTTGTAGCCCTGTAGCCATATGTTCATATAGCCCTATAGCCTTATAGTCTCATAATAGCCCTAGCTAAAACAATGTTGATACGGTGTTTCTTTAGCATCATCAAGCAGAACATCTTGCGCTGCCTGCAATTCCGCAGCGGCGTCGTGGACATCAGCCAGGCATGCGCCCCGGCACGCGATGACTCCTCGCTCGCGAACATGCCGGGTGAGAAGGGCCAGGCTGGAGCAGCGCTGTGCCCCGCCAGCGCTCCTCGAGAAGTCGTGGGCGGGTGGCCCGACAAGCAGGCGCCTTTGGCGTGGGCAAGTTTCCGAGTCGAGCGAGTTGTGAGATCCACGTTGGTTGCGGAGGCACACAGCATCAGCGAGTCCGCGGGGCATGGCCAGTTTCTACGACAGTTTTTTTCTCCGGAATTATATATGTCAGCCAGCGCCAATTTCAAGGGTGATGAGAGGTCATGTACATCGAGGCCGACTTTGGCTGCGACGGACAGCGACAATCCGAAGGCTACTGTGACAAAGGATAGCGGTTCAGTCGCGGACAAAAGACTACGCGCTGGTGTCCCCATGCTTCGTGGGAGCAGAGTTTGGCGTGCATTGCGGTTTTGATTGCAGACTTTGCTTCCGAGGAGTTCGAGATTCCACCTGCGCAGAGGAAGCGACAGGCCGCGAAGCTAACAACAGTCCTGATTTCATCGACAAGAAGATCAACCACGAGGGGATCGGGCACCGCGCTGAGGAGGTAAACCGCGAGAGGATCGGGCACCGCGTGCGGCGGATCAATCGTGCGTGGATCGGGCGCCACACTGGGGGCAGCATCGAGGTCGGCCCGCGGGTGAGCAGGGCGAGCCCAAGCCTCGGACTCCGCATTGCCGCGTTGATATCATCCATGGCCGCGGCAAGGGCAACGCCAACTGCGCCACCTACTGAGGAAGATGCCAATGCAATGATCCACGTTATGCTGGCCGTCCTGTTCGCGATGACTACGGCCGCGATATACCTCGCGCGGCAGATGAGGGAGATCGGAGCATTGATCCGACAGTCCCAGGAGATCGAGAGAATGCCGCGGCTGATTCACGCGGACGATAACCGCACTCGAGGCTCGACTCCGACGACGGCGACAGGCACCGTTACGAGAACGAGGACGCTCATGAAGGTCGGTAGCGGGGGGCCCGAGCCCATGGGGATCGAGAGCGACAGTGCCATATTCGGAGAGGAACCAGTCCAGATCACGGGGCAGAGGACGGCCAAGGCGGTAAAGACGATTGACGATGAAGCTGCACGTGGCCCATAGAGCCGCCCGGCCATAAAGGCGGAGATCAAGGCGGCGCCGCGGGATCTTGATTTCGCGGGAATCAGCGCGAAGTTGTTGAAGGCCGGTCTCGAGGACATTCCCGCGGCGATCGAGGTGTCCGAGCGCGTGGCGAGGCGCTGCAATCCCGAGGGCAAGCAGGTTATTAAGGGTGAGGCGAACAAGATGGCCAGTGGCATTGGCTACTACGTTGACCCCGAGTCCATTGACGGACTGTTGAGTGTGCGAGGAGCGTTCTGCAGCGTGGAGAAGGCGAAGGCCGCGCTGGCAGCCTCAGGGGGCTGAGTTTCTTCGCTTCGCATGTGGGCGCGCTCCTGGCGAGCGGTTCGATTCCATGAAGCTACTCCATATTCATGTTGCGGCGAGCGACACAGTCGTTGACCGCTGGGTTTACCCCTTCGAGCTCCAGATGGGATCTGGCAGGAAGGGGGAGCTGACGGAGTGCGCGCGTGCCTGCCATCTCCCATCCTCCGCCCGACGCGCGCGTCATCTCCCGAGTTCCAGAGACCTCCTGAGATGTTGGCCAAGGGGCCTACATATATTTGGCCAGCCCACCAAGGCCTGCCTCTTTTTGCGCTGGCCCGCCAGGGGCCACGTGACCAGGCCCGGCCGGGCCTATGTATTTGAGGATTTCTAGAGAGCCTTCAGGAGGTCTGGTGCCCGCCGCCGCCGTTTGGCTCTGCGGGCCCCGCCGGGCCCTTGACCAATTCACAGTCTTCCGCCTGGCGGGCCGCTGATGAGAGCTCTAGTGCCGCGCGCTGGAGACAGAAAAGCATCCTTTGAGCGCGCCCGCTGTGTTACTAGGGGGGGAATCGGGTTTTGAGCTGATCTCATTTCCCTTTCACTCCCTTGCTCTTAATTCTTCCCTTTCCCGTTAATTATTCCCGTCGATTGTTTTGCATTCCCTTTAATTGTCTCGTCTTCCTGTTTATTGTCTCGTCTTCCCGTTTATTGTTTCGTCATGTATTCCCGTTGATTGTTTTGTGTTTTCGTCAATTGTCTTGTATTCCCTTTCATATGTTATTTTTCGGCTCGAAAGCCCCAGTGGGTGCGTTCGCATACAGGAGGAAACGGAGGAGGAGGAGGAGAAGGAGGAGGAGTGATATCGTCGATAAGCCTGCCAAGCTCGGTCTCGAGGGACTCGTCAGCCTGGCGCCCGATGGGGGCGGGGTTTGGATCCTCCTCGGGCCCCGGGCGGCCGTCAGGGGCGACTCCGGCGCTTCTGGAAGGCTTTCGGCGAGGCGCAACTGCAGGAGAGCAACCCGAGCTCCCCCACCCCTCGCCCCACATGATTTTCATTGTTGGGGATTGCCGTCCAAGGAATCGGGGATTACCCTCAGAATTAACGGACCTCCCGGGGACCTCCCGGGGCCCCACCTCCCGGGAATTCTTCCCGATTGTTTCCCGATAGTTCGATGGATTTAAACAACTACAGCGAATTACCGGGAAGGCCCCCACCTCCCGGGGCCCCACCTCCCAGGAACTCCCGGGAATCTTTTCTCTCTGATGCCTGGACGGTAATTCCCGTTAGTTCGGGACCTCCTCCTCCTCCTCCCCCTCCTCCTCCTCCTCCTCCTCCTCCTCCTCCTCCTCCTCCTCCTCCTCCTACATACTCCTCCTCCTCCTTTCCCTCCTCCTCGTCTTCCTCCACCTCGTCCGAGCCCTCTCCTCGGGACCCTGGGGACCCCGAGGTCCCGACGAGGCCCCCTGGTGAGGGCCTTCCTCAGCAGCTGGAGCAGGCGAAAGCTTCGAATGCCTCCTCCCGTGCCTCCTCCCGTGGCTCCCCAGGGTTCCTGTAGGCCGTTGAGGTCCATGGGTGTGGTTTTCTTGCAGCCCCACCCCTGTACGTGTAATATAGGATATAGGAATATAGACTAACCATGTAAAGCCGAATGCGACTGACGCCCATAATCATTAGTTGGAGCAGGCGGGAATTATAGGGAAATTATACAGACTTTATAGGTAAAATAAAAAAGGAAATTATTGGAATTAGGGAATTTTGATAAACACTTATAAGGAAATCATAGGGAAACTCGAACAGGGAACTATCGGCAACTCAAAACCCGATCCCCCCTCTTGTAACACAACGGGCGCGCTCAAAGCATCCTGATCGCTTTGCGATTCCGCCACCCTTGGGGTGCTCCATGGCCGTCTTGGAGGCCTTCTGGGGGTCTTGGCGGCCTCTCGGGCCGTCTCCGGGTCCTCTCGGGGCCGTATTGGGTGCTTTTTGGGCCGTTTTGGGGCCATCCTGGAGGCCTCTTCGGTTTTTTGGGGGCGATCTTGGGGGGCTATTGGACCGTCTCGGGCCGTCGGAAAGCAGAAAAAACGCAAATGCCTAGATTCCTCAAAAACCGTAGGAACATAGATGACGGTTGCCTTTTCGCGCCTTCCTTGAGGTCCTTTTGGATGCCTTTGGGGCCGTTTTGGGGACCTCTTCGGGGCCTCTTGGGCCCTCTTGGAACCATTTTGGGCCGTTTTGGTGGGTTCCTGGCCCGTCTGACGCCGTCGGAAGCCGTCTTGGGGGTATTTCTGGGCCGACTTGAGGCCCTTTTGGGGTGTTTCAGGGCTGTTGGAGGCCATCTTAGGCGTCTTGGAGCCGTCTTTGGGCTCCTTGGGGCCGTCTTGGTGGCCTCTTGAGTTTTTCTGGAGCCATCTTCGAGGCCTCTTGGGTGATCTTGGTGCGATTTGGTGTGCCTCTTGGGCCATATCGGGCCGTCGGAAGGCCGAACACGAACACACGCCAAAATCTTTCAAACACCGAGGATAAGTCAATGATTGTGCTCTTTTCGGGCCCTCCTGGAGGACGTCTTGGAGGCCTCTTGGGCCGTCTTGGATGCTTTCGGGCGCCTCCTTTTCGACACTCTTTGGCCGTCGTGGAGGCCATCTCGGGTTATCTTGGGCGAACTTGGATGCCTTCTCGGGCCATCTGAGCTTTCTTGGAGGCCATCTTGGAGCGGGAAAGGAATTGGCGGACAGATCTTGGTGCCCCTTTCCGGTGCCGGCGCGCTGGGCCGAAACCCCAGGAGGGGTTGTTTTGGAATTCAGACCAAACCAGTCTGGTCTAGCGCGCCAGGCACCCCTCTGGTAAATCAACATGGGGCGGCGGATCGAGTCGTTACGGCAGATCCCGTCACCGTTCCTTGGCTGCGGGTCGGAGGCCACGCGGATGGCAGATGGGGTCTCGTGGGAGGCGTCTCGGGAGCGTTTTGGGAGCAGTTTTTGCACCTGTAGCGGATCTCCTGGGGGCTGTTGGTAAATTTGTGGGGTCTCTCGGAGCTCCTTGCGGGCCTGTTGAGGGCTTCTTGGGGCAACTAGGGAGCGTTTTTGGGCCGAAGGCTCGAACTGTCCGTTCGGGTTCCCCCTTCTGGGTGGGTTTCTTCTTGAGGCTGTCATGGGGCCCCCCTGGGCGGTCTTGAGTGCTTCTCGAGCGGTCTTGGGGCCCTCGTGGGTCGTCTGGGAGACCTCCCGGGCCGTCCTGGGGCGATCTAGGAGACCTCTTGGGCCGCCTTGGACGCCGTCAACGCACAATAGACGAACGTGTGGAAAATGCACGTTATCCAATCGGAACGGGACGATTTTTGCTTTTGGGTGCTGCCTTGGGACGTCTCTTTTAGGGTTTTTTAGGAGCGTCTTGGGGGCCTCTTGGGCCGTTTGGAGGCCAGCGCAAGCGCGTTGGATTGGTCTTTCGGTGGCACGTGGCCCTCTTGGACCGTCCGGAGGGCCTCTTGGGGCCCTCTGGCCTGTTGTAAGGCCTTCTGTCCCGCCTGGCCGCGTTCCACCGGTTCCTTGGGGACGCCCCCCCCCTCTAAATCGACCAGACCGGGTTCCCCGGGAAAAGGTTTTGAGAGGGGGAAGCGAAGCATCTCACACGCCGATGAAACCCAAGGGGTCGGCAGATAAATTGCGCTTGTCGACTGTGCCCGCGGCGAGGCGAATGGGGAAGGGCTGAGCGGAGGGATCTTTTCAGCGAGGCCACTCAGATGCCAGAAGAGTGCAAAGCAGGGACAACGGAGCGTGGATTAGTGCGGTGGGCGTGCCCTTCTCTGCCCTTTTCCTCCCTTGCTCTAGTGGCTGCGTTCTACCTACCCAAAGTAGGTCGTGGCCAGCAGCTTGCAGGCGAAGGCAGACATAATTGGAGGATGGTGCCGACGCAAATGCCACGGCTCCACTTCTAAACTTTCCGTTTGGCTATTTTCAACGGGCACGTGACAGTTTGTTTTTCACTGATATGTTCAAGTCAAGCAGCCGCCCGTGAACCAGGGCTCCCTGTGCGCATGCTTTGCCCCCCCAATACTGATGCAAAAGCGGCGTGCAGTGCCTTGATGTTGCTTGACAAGAACAACTTGATCAAGTACGACAAGCGCACGGGCCAGGAGCAGGGCCTCAAATTCTATTCGGCGAGTGGCCGTTTCCCCCTCCCCTGGTGAGCCCGCATGGCGGAATTCACGGCGGGTCCCAAGGGGGGAATTTTCACACAAATATCGCAATCATTTTGCGTTTGGGCGTGTGGCCTCTACACGCGTGTGGCCGAACGGTCGGGCGTGGCTTGGCGTTTGGCGCCGTTTTGAACCCTTCCTGCGGTCTCATAGTCGCTCTTGGAGCTCACATACGGCCTCGAGCGGCCGTATTATTGGTTGTGATATGGATGGCGCGCGCGGCGCGGCAATCTTTGTCGTATGAGAGCGCTGCTCGATCAAACTGCGTAGCTCTAAGACCAAGGGCCCTATTCGAGAATAAACGGCGGCGGCAGGGATACATATAAACAGAGAGAGAGAGAGAGAGCAGCAACGGGAGAGCGGGGAATGGGTGAGAAGGCCAGCGAGCCTTCTGGAGTCACACTCCTGCACGGTGCGAGGGCGCTCGAGGTTGAAGCGTCAGAGCAGCCGGGCATATAAATGCTTGGCTCTTCATTTAGCGGAATGCCAGGCATGCTGGCAGAAGGCGAGCAAATGGCTCGACACGGATTTCAGGGCATTCTTCTCAGCTCTCAGCGCCACCGGCTCTTAATCAAAAAAGGGCAAGGCTAGCAATGGCAGGAGTTCGATCGCTAAGCGACAAAACTCAAAATAGTCATCTGATCGGAATAAGATCTGCATGGGGTTGATCGTCATCAAATATATGACAAAAAACTGTGCACACTGAATGAAGCTTATCTAAATTCGGATTTACTTGTAAATATATAGCCGGGTGTGAAAAATTATCCTGGCGAAGGACCCAACCATATGCAGTTGTGAGTATCGCAATTGGGAGTCTCTTTTTCGGTGGCGCTCCCTATGGGGCCACGAACCGCATGAGGGGTGTGCCGAAATGTGGCGGGGTACACAACGCAAAGGATTACGATTGATCTGATTACGAGAGAAAGAACGCGGGTGAGTCAGAGCGCGAGGGAATCTGAGTATGAATGGGTCTGCGCGCGAGTGAATATATTTGCATGAAATGCGATCATGGAACCGCCTAGTGTAAGTGTCGAGCATGCCTGTCCGAACACACGTGACACTCGGCGTGGCCGCCGCAGGCAGCTTCCGCGGGAACCCCGACGGCAGCGTCCGCACGTCGCGACGCCCATGTCGGCACGCCTCTTGCGAGGATCGCGCCCGCTTTCGGCTCTTCTTTTCCTTCCTCTTTGCCCGCGCACTCCAAAATCCAAGGCTGCGGGCGCAGCGCAGCGCGGAGTCCCCGCGACGCGCGCTGGTCGCCCCGGGCGGGGTCCCAGCGACGCGCGCGGGTCGTCCGCTGCGCGAAGCAGAGAGAGCTGACTAGCTAACTGGCTGGCTGATAGCGGGCAAGTCTCTGACCGCTGGGCAGAGCGACGACGGGCGAACGAGGCGCCGGGCCCCCCGCAGCACGGAGTTCCCGCGACGCGCGCTGGTCGCCCCGAGAGGGTCCCAGCGACGCGCGCGGGTCGTCCGCGGCGCGAGGCCAAACAATTAGTCGGGCAGTCGAGAGAAGGCGCGGCTCGGGGGAGACGCTCCTCAGGTCAGGCCTCGCGGATGAACTCGGTGAAGCCGAGCTCCCTGGCGAGGGCCGTCGCTTCCCTCCTGCACCGCTTCGTGCGCGCCGCAAACTGCTCCAGCTGCTTCCGCAAGCCCTGCGGCGGCCCTGCCAGGAAGAACTCGATGCGCGGCGCCCGCATGAGCAGGAGGTCCTCGTGGCGCGTGGCGCGCGAGAGCAGCACGTAGAGCTCCAGCCACCAGTCGTCGTCCTCCTTCTTGCCGTTCCCTACCTCGTGGCGGCCGCAATCCAGGATCACGCCTGGGCGACGTCGACCGAGGGAGCAGCGCGCCGGGCAGCCGACGGCCCAGGGCGAGAGTCCACAGGACCGAGAGATGGTCTGGCCGCGGACTGCTCGCGCCCCGGAGGTCTGGCCGCCCCCGGAGCGCCGTTCCCCCGCCCCGTCGCCTTCGCGCACGGTGCGCCCCTGGCACGCCACCGTGGTGATGACCCTGCCGTGCGAGAAATGCGGGGGGTGTGCCGAAATGGGTGGGGGTGACGCATGCGGGCGGCGGCACTGAGGCCTTCGGTGGAGCTCCCTATGGAGCCACGAAACGTGTGAGGGGTGTGCCGAAATGGGTGTGGGGGACGCATGCGGCCGCGGGCACTGGGGCCTTCGGTGGAGCTCCCTATGGAGCCACGAAACGTGTGAGGGGTGTGCCGAAATTGGGGGACGCATGCGGCCGCGGGCACTGGGGCCTTCGGTGGAGCTCCCTATGGAGCCACGAAACGTGTGAGGGGTGTGCCGAAATGGGTGTGGGGGACGCATGCGGCCGCGGGCACTGGGGCCTTCGGTGGAGCTCCCTATGGAGCCACGAAACGTGTGAGGGGTGTGCCGAAATGGGTGTGGGGGACGCATGCGGCCGCGGGCACTGGGGCCTTCGGTGGAGCTCCCTATGGAGCCACGAAGCGTGTGAGGGGTGTGCCGAAATGACACCCCCAGTGGGACCTTCGGTGGAGCTCCCCATGGGGCCACGAAACGTTGTCCTGGGTGGGGGAGACGCATGCGAACACCCCTACTGGGACCTTAGGTGGAGCTCCCTATGGGGCCACGAAACGCTGTCCTGGGTGGGGGAGACGCATGCGAACACCCCCACTTGGGCCTTCGGTGGAGCTCCCTATGGGGCCACGAAACGCTGTCCTGGGTGGGGGAGACGCATGCGAACACCCTTATTGGGACCTTCGGTGGAGCTCCCGATGGGGCCACGAAACGCTGTCCTGGGTGGGGGAGACGCATGCGAACACCCCTACTGGGACCTTCGGTGGAGCTCCCTATGGGGCCACGAAACGCTGTCCTGCGTGGGGGAGACGCATGCGAACACCCCTATTGGGACCTTCGGTGGAGCTCCCTACGGGGCCACGAAACAGTGTCCTGGGTGGGGGAGACGCATGCGAACACCCCCACTTGGGCCTTCGGTGGAGCTCCCTATGGGGCCACGAAACGCTGTCCTGGGTGGGGGAGACGCATGCGAACACCCCCAGTGGGACCTTCGGTGGAGCTCCCTATGGGGCCACGAAACGCTGTCCTGGGTGGGGGAGACGCATGCGAACACCCCTACTGGGACCTTCGGTGGAGCTCCCTATGTATGGGGCCACGAAACGCTGTCCTGCGTGGGGGAGACGCATGCGAACACCCCTGTTGGGACCTTCAGTGGAGCTCCCTATGGGGCCACGAAACGCTGTCCTGGGTGGGGGAGACGCATGCGAACGCCCCCAGTGGGACCTTCGGTGGAGCTCCCTATGGGGCCACGAAGCGTGTGAGGGGTGTGACGACATGGGCGGTGGGGACGATGATGAAGACGATGATGAGGATGAGGATGTGGATGAGGATGATGCTGCAGATGACCATTCTGACGGAAGAGAGAAGAGGAGGGGGAGGAGGGAGGAGGGGGAGGAGGAAGGAGGAGAGGAACGCGGGGCACCGTCTCTTCAAAACGAGGACCCAACACCACAGGATGGTTGGGAACAAAACAGCTGTGCGGGCTTACATAAATCTCTAGCCGGGTATGCCAACCTGCCGTCCGGACACCAAGAGGGGATCACCTTTCCTTTTTGGGCTGCGTCGGTTTGTCCGTCATGGCAGGTCCGCGCCAGCATTCTCTGCCGGTGAGCCTCCTCCAATGGCCCATGAGATCATCCGTCACGCCTTCAGGGAAGTTCGTGAAATCGGGACTGCTGTGCCTGTAGAAACGGAGAAGCCAGGACGACTGCTTCTTGCAGGTCTTGCAGGCAATGTAGACGCTATGCGGATTATGCCCGATTCTGAAATCATGGCGAGGGACGGCGGTCACACAGTTGAGCATTTCGTTCGGCGATACCGTCGGCGAGGAACAGTTCCACGAAACCACACTCGCAGATACAGAACTCGATGAACTCGATACGGTAACTATGCTCGGTGAAGTAGGGGCTGAAACCGAACTCTGAGATCTCGCTGACCTCGATCGTGCTGGTGTTGCGGTATGTGGTGCGCTGACAGGTAGTGGTTCTGGCGGCAACAGTGGCGGCGTTGGTGCTGATATCGGCGGCTGCGAGGGGTGGCGTCCGAGAGATACGCCAGATGCCGATGCTGATGAACTCGATTTGTGCACACTGTAATGTCCATCCGACGGATGCATCATGATGTCGCCATCGTAGTCATGGTCATCGGGGATTTTAGCTGGAATGTTACGGCGCCGGCCCAGCACGCGGCCGTCCCAGCCGGGGTGCTCGCCCATTGCCTTCGCCTCGGCGACGTGCTCCTCGGTGGCGAGCAGGCTCTTCTGCCTCATGATCTTCCAGAGCGTCACGAAGATGCCGAAACCTATGGTCATGCCGAGGACTAACGTGAACGTCGTCAGGCATATGTAGAAGCTGTAGTCCGGCACCGTCGGTGTAGGCGTAGGCTGTCCCCTGACCTCGCCGAGGCACGTAAACAGGACTGAGGCGAGCATGGCGGCATGCGGTTGCCGGGTCCCGTAGCTGTGCTTGCGGGCCCCGAAGGATGTCAGCAGGGCGCCGGCTTCCATTGCCTTGGTCAAGGCGTCCGCGACCATGGCCCAGGTCGGGATCCAGCTGAGCTTGAGTGCGCTGTTGGGGTGCACGGCCTCCTTGATCATGGAGACGACGATGCGGAATCGTTCGTCAGTAGAGTGGCCCACATGAGAAGAGATGTGCGTCACGAGACCCTTGCTGTCGCTGTAGATTTCCCCGGGGCGCTTGTCGGCGAGGACGTCGATACGCTTGAGCGCCATCTTGGGGTTATAGGCCTCGGCCAGTAGCTGGCGGAACCAGATGTTGGTTTCCGATCCCTGGCGGGTTGCGTAGCCTTCGGCAGCGAGTGTCGACTTCGCCGACCTTCTGACCGTGCCTGAGTGCCAGGCCACGGGTAGGCAAAGGTCGTAAC